ATCTATCTATCTATCTATCTATCTATCTATCTATCTATCTATCTATCGATCTATCGATCTATCGATCTATCGATCTATCGATCTATCGATCTATCTATCTATCGATCTATCGATCTTGTATAAACTTGGCTTCACTTTTTTTTTTTTTAATTTGTGGTCAAGTCATTACAGCACTGCTATGCATATCTTTAAAATGTGGCAGTTTCTGTCTTCCATACATGGTGGGTCAGTGCCACAGACTCCAACAGGATCTTGAAGGAATGTAGGGCATATTATTCAAATGTGGAAAACGTTACACAAAGAGCACTAGCAGTGAATATGGCATCACTAACTTTTATTACGATGCGGTTATTTCACCTCTGAGCGTGTGCAGTGAGCAGGTGCTGTGTCATGAATGAAACATTTCCTCCTGTTTCAACCCGTCACCATCACTCTGTGGGTGGAGGCAACACAGACTGTAAAAAGATCCTCCCTTCAGGGCAACTCTCACTTTTCCAGCAGCTGAGGAGTTTTGATTCCAGTAGCTCGGCGTGCAGACACCACAGCCATGATAAGGAACGAGGTTTTCTCCTGTTTTGTCTTCTACGCCGTCCTTCTGGTGGTTAAAATGTACGTGATCGCCGTCATCACGGGACAAGTGAGGCTGAGAAAGAAGGTGAGAGGGACTCCGCTTTTCTGTCCTCATTTGTCGAGTTATTTGCACTGATTTCTTGTGTATTTTTCCACATCGTTTAAGGCTTTTGCCAACCCTGAGGACGCGCTGAGACACGGAGGGTTACAGTTTCACAGAGAGGATCCATATGTGGAGCGATGCCGGAGGTGAGAGGGCGCAAAGGTCACAGTCTTCTCTGCAGGCTGTGCAAAGTATAGTTTCAGGCCTCTCTTTACTTGAAGCAAATGTTTTTAGTGGAATTTTCCCACTGCTCGTGCGCTTTTCTTTTCTGATTACCAGCCTGGGAGCTGTCTGGTTTGTTTTAACTTGTAAGAATAAAGGAAGGGAGGGAAAAAAAGAAGCAAGACCAGATGTTTTCCTGCTTGTGAAACATTCATTTCTGTTTTCTCCATCTCACTGGCTGTTTTACTGAACTTATTTCGAAGAAAAACCTTTGGAAACAAATCCGGCTAACATCTTCATTTAGTGCTTTTAGGCTGATGGCTTTTCATTAGATGCTTCTGCATTGATGGATGGAAGGTGTCCAAAGTAAATATTGCAAAATGCAAGCTAAGAATGGGTGGAAGGGAAGCAGGAAACGAGCTGATTGTGGCCTGAATGTGCTGGCACCGCTAGAACGTGACCATGTTTTGCCAATTAAGATGGAGGATGAAGGAACTCTTTCCAAGTGCTTCAAAAAGTTTCTGATTGGCTTTCTCTTCCAACAGCTTGTGATCGCTGTATATTACTATATTTTTTCAGACTATAAGGCACATTAAGCTAAACAAAACAGTCAAACTTTATTCAACTCATTCACAATAACCACATAAAATCAGTTCAGCACGACCAGAGTTAATACATAAGGCTCACTGTCGATTTTTGAGAAAATTAAATGATTTTAAATGCACTTTATAACCCATAAAATATGGTACATCGCTGCCTCCAGTTTCTTTAATCGGAAAATAAGATTAATACATTTTTTTCAGCACCATCTGTGCCAATCCTGTTCACAAAATGTTAACATTTTATAGAAATAATTAAAAAGGTACATTTAAACTTCTTACAGGAGCACAAATGCGTAGCAGCCACACACACACATAATAATAATAATAATAATAATAATATAAAATATAGGCCCAGTTTTTACAATTATATATATGTGTATTTGGAAAAAATCTCCAACCAGTTCAAACAAATGTGCAGATACTATTCCTTCCCACTTATAAATGCAGAAAATTTTTAGTTGGGGTTTGTTTTTTCCAACACAGGGTTGTTTTTCTCTTCTTGATATTGATCACAATTTACTCTTAACTTTTTCAGCAGACCATCAAAGTCTGACGCAGCAGGATCAGGTTAAAGAGAAACAGATGTTGAAAATTCAGTGAAATCGCCTACATTGTTCATTTTGTTTCTAGTTTATCAAAAAGTAAAAAAAAAAAAAGGTAAATAAAAAAACTGGACTTTGTTTCTATTCTTTATGTTCTTTGGTTTCTAAGGCACAGAGTAAAATTAGGCAGAAGCTGCTTCATCACCATTTCTCAAAAGCTTATATTAAATCTGGACTCACACAGTAAAACCCAGTTTGTTTTATTCCCCAAAAACTTTGTTTGTATGAACACGAGAGGTGCAAATGCAGCAGATTTTTTTTTTTTTTCAAGTATCCAAAGTAGTGTTAATAGGCTTTGTATCAAACTTTCTTGCTGCTTCCAGTGAAATAGTTATTAATAGAAAGGAGGGGTGAAACAGCTGGACTGTGGGTTTGCAACTGCTCCCACTAACAAATGGCTGTGAATTAAACAGAATTGTGCTGGTTTCAGAGGTGCTTTACTTCTCTTCCTAAAGCCAGTATCTCACCAAAATGACTTAAAATGCTCATGAAGGTCCTCGGTTTCCCACTTTAAGCCTGGCGGCCTTGTTCTTGTGTCGCAGGAATGCGAAACTTTGAAAAGCTGTGCTACAGATTTTCTCACAAAATAGTCACTGAATCATTGCAGACATCTTGGGTACATCTTTATTTTGTTTGCATAATTCTAAATGGTATTTTTTTTGGCAATATCTATGCAAAATCCTTGTGAATTTAAAGCAACAATGTAACTAGTCATTAACAGTTGCATCCCAGAGTGATACTAAATATAAACCTGAAGTGTGAGAACTCACAGGGTGAAGAGCGAGCCCGACCAGCCAAGCCGGACAAAGGAGCGGTCTTCACACAATCGTTCTTATTCTAAAACCTTTGTCTCCTCCAGAGCGCATCATAACGACTTGGAGAACATCCTGCCTTTCCTCTTCCTGGGTGCCGTCTACTCCCTGATTGGACCGTCGCCGTCCGTGGCCCGCCTTCACTTCCTCGTGTTTTTTATCTGCCGTGTACTGCACAGCATCGCCTACCTGTTGCCCTTACAACCACCCACCCGCTCCGTGGCCTACATCGTGGCTCAGATACCGTGTATTTCCATGGCTGTGCAGATTCTCATGTCAGTCGCATCTTATGCCTGACATTAAATGAAAGAGCTCAACCCGACGGTGCCACCCCGGGAGGCTGCAAGGGTCAAAGAAAGGAAGCAAGAAGGTTATCTGCTGATCCCTTTAGAAACACAGTGCAATACAACGTGTGTGATTATACCAGTGTGGTTTCCAGACAGTATTTTTTGGTATAATTTCAAAATGTGACGTCTTAAAAACTATTTGAAGTATAAGTGTTGATGCAATACTTGCGTGTTTAAAATGCAAATGAAGATTGTTGCTCATTTTTCTCTCATTTGTTGACATTTCAAACTTCTTTGAACAGACAGTTTAGACGTATAGTCACTTAGGAACATTTTCCGGTTGAAGCGCATCCGTATGTTGATCCCTGACCACTTTCTGTGTTTACACAAGACACAAACCAGCACCGAAGTGGTTCTGAATCCTCAGCGGGACTTTGTCTGTTTCCTGTGTGGATTGTGTGAATGTTTGTTGGGTACTTCGCCCAACAAAAGCTCCACAGATCCCAACGCCGCTGATTGATGAGGTGCTAGATCTTTGGGTATCGCTCACCTGACGTCCCTGCGAGTCAAACTGGTTCTCCGACTGTTTTCAAAGGACTGATGTGTAAATGTCTCACAGTACCCTGAGGAAAACCATTCCAGCTTTTGTAATATTGTCATTTTATCTGTAAGAACACATTTTTTGGTTATCTGTAAAGTGTTATAGGTGTAATTTATTACTCAGTTGTGTTTTTGCCTCAGATATGTTTTTTTTTAAAGAAATAAAACAGTACTGTTAAATCCAGTTTTGATGTAATTTGTGAATGTAATAGTCAAGTCATTGTTGATGTAGCCTAGTCCTGCGGAGAATGGGTTTTAAGGGGGGCGGGGGCCCCATCAGGGGGTGAGTGAGATGATCCAGAAGTCCAGGGCTAGCAGCATTCCTGCACCTATTACGTAAAACGCTGATCTGGGCTGTGTTCCCTGAGACGGGTGGGCACTGGGAAGTTCCACAAATGCACTTACAGACATTTAAATGCTTAATCATGTGTTGAGACAGCACAGTTACAGCTTGTGTTGCCACTCTGAAATGTGTTCTTTGTATCTGTCATCAGTTTTAAACACATTTATTCTCACTTGTGAGCTGAAGCAACACTTTTCCACTTCTATTACAACGTGATCCTCGTAATCCAACTTCTGAGGATTTGTCAACCAGCAGAGATGACTAAACTTGAACACACACACAGCTGAAATCCTTTGTGATCATGGATGTTTTATTTGTCTCGAAAGAAAAAAAAACTACTAACCTGGTAAGTGGGAGGAAAGGAAGTTTTTTTTAAAAATGTTTTGAATGAAGCTTTCACAATGCATGCAATCTGAAAGACATAAAGCTGACAAAGGACAAGGGTGCGTCTAGCTTTGGCTTATCTTTTTCAAATTTGTTCAGCCTTTCCCCCTCAGGTTAAAAGGAAATAACACTTACGAACTCCCTCTTTCATTTTTTTTTTCTTAATGTGTGTTTTTTAGTGGCAATTTGGGAAAAATTAGCTCAACCCGCTGTAAAAAAAAAAAAAAAGTCCTATTGTCATTTTTCTTAAACAAAAACTGCCTTTGAAATAAATGGGAGGTTGGTAAAAAATGTGTAGTGTTGTGGTTTTGCTTTTGTTCAGTACTTTTTTGTCTCCACCTTGTGACCATGTTGAAGCAGCAATAAATGGTCAGGAGACGAACAATAAAGGCATAATTTAAAAGTGGGGAGTCTAAAAAGTGGCCCTGTGATGGACTTGCGACCCGTCCAGGGTGTACCCCGCCGCTCGCACAGTGATTGCTGGACATGGGCACCAGCGACCCCCGTGACCCAAAATGGAATAAACGGGTAAAGATAATGGATGGATGGATGGAGTCTAAAAAGTGGTTGTTTGCACGTGACTCACTCAGTAGGTCATGACAAGCATGCTAATTTTATCGTTAACACGACTTCACAAAGTTTAATCTCTTTTGTTGTTTTATCAAGAAAATATTGACTGAAAATTAGAAAATAACATATTATATTATAATATTACAAATCCATAATTAGGGATGCACGATATTATCGGCACGGTATCGGGATCGGCTGATATTATCGTTAAAGTTCAATATCGGACATTCCATCAAAATAACTCATCAATATAAAAGATGCAGTTTTTGTATGACAACCCAGTGACTAGGATGTCTACAGTGACAGCACAACGTGATGACGTCACGCACGCCTACCTGATCTCACGGTGGAGAAGAAAATTCAAAATGTCAGCGGTGTGGATTTTTTTTTTCTCCCGTTGATGAGGATGTCGTATTCCGAAGATTTTTGGACTACTTTGAGCCTTGTTACATCGTCCCCAGTCGGAGATATTTTTCCAACGTAACCTTACCCGAGTTACAAGTAGTCATTTTCGACGTCATTGAGAAGCTAATAGCCGATAGCACTTGGGTGAGTTTTACCACAGTTATCAAGTGATAGCCCCGTTAGCATGATTAGTCTTACGGCACAATGGATAGACAAAAACTTTGAACTTAAAAAGTCTGTCCTTCATGCACAAGAGTGCAGAAGATCCCACACTGCAGCTAGAGACCTGGAACAAGCCTCCACAAGTGAGACAGCATCACAGGTGACTAATGCTAATAAATAACATTTAACACTTTCATTTAATATAAGTTAAAGTGCTTTGCATATCATATGGCTGTTACTGAATATATGTCACCAGTTCTTACAGATGTTACACAATTTTTGTAGCAAATAAGCCTAAATAAGAGGGCTATGTTCTGACAAAGGAAAGTATATAAAATATCGGAATCGGTTATCGACCAAATAAGTTTTAAAATATCGGTATATCGGATATTGGCCAAAAATCCAATACCGTGCATCCCTATCCATAATCCGTAAATGCTTGAACACAGACACAACTGAAACTCCATAAATATTTATTACATATCAACAAACAGAATAAACTACTTTCACAGCAGTGGTCTACAGCACGTTAAAAAATAACAATTCAAATAATATTAATATTAATAATAATAATAATAATAATAATATAGTTTGTTTCATTTGAGGCCACATTTGATACACAAACATTTACAAGTATTACTTGGCATTAAAAACAATGGCGATACAATATTTTAAGACACTTGGTGTTTTTTATACATTTTTTTTCTTTTTCATTTTAGTATCACAGAGAGGTTCAGCAACAATCTAAACAGGAATTTAATAAAAACAAAAAAAAACAAAAAAAACAAAACAGTGACGAAGCAGAGTAGAGGTGGAAATCAGGAGTACTTAGTTAATAAACTGGATCGAACATGAGGAGATTTTGTTTATCACCATTGGTACAGCGGAAAGACTGAAGCAAAATAAAAGACCCTCCTTTACCCCCTTTTTCAAAGTTTTGGTGTTTGAGGGACTCATGCTGTGGCAGGCAGAGAAACAGGGAAGGTGTGGGGGGAAAAGAGGAAGAGGCTCATGCAGTATCTGACAGCTGTTGTGTTGTGAACCCCCACAGAGAGTCACTCTCAGACCCCCAATAACTTAAGAACTACTACTTCCTGTTTGTTGTTGTACTAAACCTGCTATTTCTCCAATTTTACAAGTGAAGAGTTAATGTTTGAACCAAAACAAAGAACTAATCTTACTTCCTCTGTGGTAATGATAACAAGAGTACCACATACGGCACAATATATTCCCATCAACCAACTATTACACTACATTCTATGGCAAATTTCCCAAAGACTTTGTATAACATTTGACCTTGATTTATGACCTTGACCTTGGTGCTGGGGTGATGAAAAGTATCCATGATACTCCATTTACTGATAACGCATAAGTGTTTCAAGTTTCATTAAATTATCTTGAGCGGATCAGAAGTTATGGCTCGGACAAGAGTTTTCTTCCATACATCTGTACATACAGATGTATAGACTGAGACTATCCCATAATACTTCCACCTTTCAATGGGTGTACCACAAAACCAACTCCTAATGTGAAGGGTTTGGCATTAAGTGAAGAAACTATTGTACTTCTGAGCCGCTGCCTTCTCATTGGGACCCTGAGTGACCTGAATGTTTATACTGCCAGGAAAATAAGTGGAGGCGATTGTTTCCACCTGGCCTTGAGTTGCAGAGTTCATGGAGCTCCGAAGGAAAGAGAGCTTCTTCTAACAACCTGGAATTAGTGGGCGGTAATGCATACCTTCCGTTTTTTGCAAACTGCCAATACTAGAAGAAGAAGAAGAAGAACCTGGAACTGATGTGTGCTTTGTGGTCCTAAAAGGTATGGCTCCATAACTAAACAAAAGGTCATTCCATTTATTGCACTCAGGAAGTTCAATTTACACGTTATTATGTTGTCAAAGGGACCACGTGAGGTTCAACAAAGTCTAGGAAAATTATCATATTGGTGCAATTAGTGGGTGTGTTTTTTTCACTGCAACAAAGGTGGGCAAAAAGCAGAAGTTTAAACAGATGGTGGCTGGTTAATTTGTACTTTTTCTACTTCTTACCCCATCTTGAACTGAGTGGGTGGCCATGGGTAAACACTCACCATTGTGTACCTGCTGCATGTACTTCTGTCTTTGACTAGGGTTAGGCAAGAGTCTGAGTTAAAGGTTGTGGGTTAGGGGTCCAATATAGAGATTTGGCCAACATTCGCCAAGCATCAAACTACACAAGGTGTTAAAAATAATGCTCCCGTGGATTAAAATCAAATTTGGGTTTGGTTCCCAAGGTGAGGGCAGAAACACTCAGCAGGCAGCTTTTCTTTCCCAAACCAACTAAAGTTTGGTTTGTTACCATTACTGCAAAAAAAGCAAGACTTATCTGGACTTGAATAGCCAAAGTGATCAAGGTTAATTGAGTCTTTAATCATTTACAAGTTAATAGTACCACAAACAAGTTTTTACCAGCAGTTGATGCTCTGGTGAGTAGATACACAACGCTCATTCACCAGTGTGAGCCTGCGCTGCTGCTTGGCCTTGAAACTATCCCCTCTGTTTTTATAACGTGTTCGAGGTTCAGTTTATACACCAAGCTTTCAAATGGCGTGCCAACTCGACCTGCTCAGCACAAGGAAGGCACACTTGTGTTTGATACTGCTATACACGTCATGATCGGGCTTGAGGATTTGACCAAATTCACTTTAAATGGGCAAATTGTGGAGGTGTAAACGATTCTGAATTAATTGGGCAACAAAATTGTAAGAATTAATACTCTCCATTCCCCCACAAATAACCCAAAGCAAAAACAAAAAAAACATTAGTTTGATCTTAAATGATGTTAGTCTTTGGCTGATGTGAGGCCTTCTCCGATTGGTTTCAGGCACTTACGTAACAACAAGTGATATTTTAATGTATTTAAAATGTAGCCTGGAAGCTAATGTACACAGTTTGGAAGGAATAAAAAAAAAAAGCAGCAATGGAAGGAAAAGTTGGAAATGTAATTTCAGTGCGACTTGTTTTTGTACATGCCCATTATCACTTATAAGAAAATCACTGATTTTCTTGTGTAGTTTGCTTCAGATTGTTGTACCAGCACGAACGCGTAAGGCCGGACATCTCCAATGGCTGTGGTTTGCGTTTAATTCCTACATTTGTCCGTATGTTGATGACCTCGTTGTGATCAAAGAAGAAACTTGTGGCTCAGGAACAAAGATTTTTGCGGTAGCAGAGTTGTGTTACCTAGATTTCAGCTCGGACACTGCTTCTGGTATTTATGTCTACAAACTGACTTTCTTAATCTAACGTAAACTACAATCATGTGTGCTAATGAGAAACACCAGAATAAAGTGGGTTTAATCAAAGTTCAGTGGAGGATGCTGGGAAATGGCACTTGTGGGATACTTTGCCTCCTGTCCAACTTGTATAGTAGTGAATAAGAACAGGCCTAACGACTGAAATGTATGGAGATATTAAAACATCATACTTTCACTAAGGGTCAAAACAAAATGGATTTTTATAATATATCTATAAATATGCATCACGGAGCAGACAGAAGTATGTCTGTCCACGTATGCACTTTCATGTATAAATAGATGTACACGTACATATTCATATCATACAACATCTGGAAGCGGATTGGAAATAATGCACAACACATAAAATACAACACGTATTTAGCGACTTCAGAGGGAGCTGTGGCGCAGCGGATCTTTGCTGTACGCCTGTGCGCAGGTTTACATTCAGTTGTGTGGTTTGAGCTTCACACCGTTCTCCCCGACACGCACAACCTCACAGCCTCTTTGGGTTATTTGCTGCAGAACTACACAAACACCCAACGCACTGTGGCTTAGGGACGGCTCATGAAAACAAACATGCACACAAACATGTCTGCTAACTCCCACCCCACCCTGATGGTGATCCTGACTGAGGAATGGAGAGACCCAGTAAAAAAACAAAAAAAACAACTAAATGATGAAAAAAATTCTAACAAACAAAATAAAAAAGGGAGAACAAAAAGGAGTGACAGCACAGGAGCGAGTGCGCAGGGAAGTGCACAGCAGGATTGTCTTCACTTCAGGTCCAGGACATCATCTTCAAAGGACGTGGAGAGCATGAGCGCACTGGCAAGAGGTGGACTCTCCGCCTGCAGCGACGCTGTCTCCGGCTCCATCTCCAAACTGGGCGAACAGTGCAGCTGGATGTCCAGCTCGGATTCAGACTCCGAGGCTAACCTGTCGAGCACGCATCTCTTAGTGTTACATAAAATCTGCCACACGTTCTTGTAGCGTTGCACCGTTTACCTGTCACTGTTTGTTGATGTCAGCGGCCGTGCTTTGGGCTCCTCTTCAGTGTTCTTCTTGCTCATCTTCCTATGTTTGATCGATCCGCTGTCTGGTTTCCCACTCGGCTCTTCTGTCAAGCCTTAATTGGTGACAGAAAAAGGACACGAGGTTGGAAAAATGGCCTTTTTCAGACAAGAGTCAGTCAAGCACAAGTCCCTGCTTTGACACAAAAACCACTAGTTGTTCAGCCTATGATCATTTTTCAAAATACCGAGCAGCTCCTTCCGTGTGCGGCTGGCGATCTCTTTAATTTCCATGCGGGACAAGGACAGCGAGTGTGTGGCAGAGATAAGCGGAGTTGGAGCGATCATGGCAGGGGTTGGTGTCGCCAGCACCTTGTTGACCAGCGGGGACTTCAGGGGTCTTTCAATGCTGCGGCCCACCAAGTTACACAAAGGAATCTTGAAGATGTGCTTACATGTTGCTTCACCTGGTGGGAGAAATGCCATGAAAGATCAGTTGAGGGTCAGGAAATTAGTGAGGAGGTAACAAAAGAGACCATAAAACAATAAAAGTGAGCAAAAATAGAAGAATGTCAGAGAAGGGATAGAAAGTATTGTATATGTGAGGTAGATAATTATATATATATATATATATACATATATGTACATTATATATGTATATATATATATATATATATATATTGCTGTTTTTCTTTCCTCTGCTTGTTTTACGTTTTTTTCATGAATAAAAATTTATTTTGAAATTTACCTGAAACTTATATAATGCATGCCATTTTATTAGTCTGCAGGCTTTAAAGCAATAATTTCAGAGCACATTAAAAATAATGTAATCAAGTCAAAACATTTTGGTGTGATTTCAGAAATAATAATAGTGATAATAGTAATACGTGTAAATAAATAGTTTCTCAAAGACTAAAGTATGCTGCATAATCTTTCTGTTTAGCTCAATTAAACCTGAGCTCTATCACTCCGCCACACTAATCAGCTCATCTAATAAGGATTCATTCAAATGAAGCCCTTCTACAATGATTAATAGTTCCATTAACTAAAACAGCATGCACTCTTAAAATGAATAATCCTTACAAAAGTAACCTAATTCAATATAATGGAAGCTATTTATAGATGTCATCCATTATGGACTAGAAATCTTAATAAACTTAAGAAATGGATGTTTGGAGTTTTTCGAAATGCACACAGCTGCAGTGTGCAAACCGTGCGTGCCACTAGGGGGCAGTGTTGTAACTTGGACTGCTCCATTAAGGCAGGTTGGTGTAAATTGAATCAAAGTGGTGGCTACCCTGCACAAAGAGGACTGTCTCAGCTGAAATGTCAGTGTGTGTGAGAGCAGAGTCAAGAGCCATGGAGAAAAATAGAGGGTCGCTGCTCGTGTTTGACGGGCACGTTGTGTTAGTGCTGTTACACATCCACTCCCATGTACCTGCACTGTCACACAGGGGGAGAAATTTTTAAAAAGCCAAAATGTAAGATAGCATGCAGTTATCTGGAATATATCATCATGGAGAGATAAATATATTCCACATGCACTTGTTTCTGAACCAGGGGAAGTGTCGCTTTCCATCACACTGGCAAATGAATGACACATAAATGTTAGGCATGCTCTTGGGAGTAATTGAAGTTGAATTGACCGCTGCAGGTGTTTGGTGTGTGTGCCATGGAGGTAGACGGCGGTCAGCAGCCGCCTCAGTAACATGTAATGATGATGAAAACCTCCCCAAGGAGCAGAGACGGTGGGCACACAGGCAGTTGGAAGAAGAGATTTTTGTCAGCAGCCCCTCAACCTCTCTTCCCCTCTTTCAACCCCACCTCCCGCCAGTATTCCCACCCACCATCAGACTGTGGCACCACCGTTTGGACTCCCACTTTGGATCGAAGAGAGGGCTGACAAAAGTCTCCATGGCGACAGTGCAATCTGTAAATCATGCTGCGACAGACGTGTCTTCTCCTTCCCTCTTTGCCTTTTTTCCTCCCACCCCTCCTGCATGTGCACAGCTCCTCCCTTTTCGTCTTGCGCTTGTGCACATCCTCCTCTGCGCTTCCTGCAATCACGAAACCCTCGGTCTCGTTGTTGTTGTTGCTCTGTGCTTTAACACTCCCTTTGCCCTCCCATTCTCTGCTCACGCTAATGCTTTCAATTAGCCGAGACAAAAGGGGGGATGGGGAAGACATAAAACGCCAAGTTAACATTCAACCAGCGTCCAAGTCCACATGCCGCCTGGGAGCAGACAGAGAAATGCACTCTGGGAGCATGTGCACGTTAGCAGAGCCGCTTTATGAGTGTTCTTTATGAGCCGAGCAGATCTGTAGTACCTTCAGCATCCTTAGACATGTACAGGGAAAGCTTGGTACCATAGGGGATCCGTATAGAATCTGAACCAGGGATGAAGCAGAGGGGTTACACAAACCAAACACACGCACACGTAGGTGCACAAACAGAACACAGAAGGTTTGCCTCTTGTCTCCAGGTGATACAGCCTTGCATTACTCGATACAACAGGACATTGAAAATGAAAATCCCCCTGAGAGAAATAATTACCCGAAGCAGCCTAAGAGCATAAATTCTGTCCTCAACTAATTGCAGCAGCAGCAGCCGAACCTTTCTTCCTGTTAGCCTTAATGGGACTTGGAAAATGCTGCTCCTCTCAGTGCAGATCAGCTTGATGGTGCAGCAGCAGGTACGCAAACATTTTAATAACGGTGTGTTTTTTGTAATAATCTTTGCTTTTCACCCCAGTCACCAAAATTAGCTCCAGCTATAAGAACCAAAAGGAGCTTACACTCCCCCCACACACCCTCTTGTTATGTCCATCAGTATGTCTGCTCAGGAAGATTGACAGCTGCGTGTTGTTAGCAGCACTTTGGACAGCTGTAGCAATCTGAAAGAGGTCAGGAGGGGGATGGGAGAGTGGCTATACAATAAAAATGGAAGATAATGTGAATGGGAAAAAAGAAATATTGATCTGATGTGATTTTAACTGGTGGGTCTGGGAGAGGTCCATTAGTAGATCTGACTTTTGATATTGCATTATCTAAAAAGACTCTGATCACAGTTTTATTTTATAATTTTTTTTAACTGAATTTCTACTGTTCATGCACTTGTATAGGCAGACATTGGTTTAAATGTGTTGGTATAAGTACAAATTCTGCTGCTTTGGCTTTTTCCACATTAATGAATAAAAATAAATCACATCTAATAATTATTTTTTTTAAAGCAGTTGCGTTCAAGATTATGTTAACTCCTGAGTTTTGTTGGAGAATACTCTTTAAAGTCTATAACTTTAAATTTTTGCACTATTGGGCAGAAACCACGTGTGCTCAGCCTTTTAGACAATCATATTTTGTTAAAGAAACTTGGTGTGGTCAGGTTGATTTGTGCCTCTGTATGTGATCAGATAGTATACAAGTTAATTGAAGGTTACATTCTTAAGTAAAAAAAGATGTACTTGAGCTCAACAACTCTATTTTCAGAGAGAATACAGCATAATGCTCCATACAAATGACATTATAAGGTAAACACTCTTTTTGATACTTATTATTGGATATTGAAACACAAAACCTAATAGATATGTACAGTATTATATTACTGTATTTTCCAGACCATAAGTCACTTATTTTCATAGTTTGGCCAGTCCTGCAACTTATAGTCCGAAGCAACTTATTTACGTTTTTTCCCCTATATGATACAATTTTTTTTTACTGACGTGTTAAATGTTCATTCTTACTGACGTGAATCAAAGAGTACCATTTGCAGTCGCAAGAGGGCCCTCTAGGCTTTTGACAACTATGTTGTTTCTCTACCGCCAACCCCTCCCCCCAAACATTCACTTAGACACAACTGACAAAAAACTTAACACAAGTAAAATGCACCCAAAAGTGATGTGGATTGAGATTGGTGAATTTACCGGTAACTTGATTGTCGGACTTGTTGGCTTGTTGTGCTCATTAAGTCCATTCAGGATCCCAGGTTTGTTCTGTGTGTTATTATTTCAGATTAAATGTTTGCTCTTGCACTTTGTGAAATTCTAAATAAATGCGACTTAATCCTTACTTGCACGTTTGTTTTACCTAGGGACCACATGCTATTTGTAATAATTACGGAGATTGTCTGTGTTGTTAATCCCCTGCGAATCTGCCATGTCTGTAATTTGTAAAGTAAAAATTACCCCGCACATGACCTACTATATTTTGCTGAACTCTGAGGTCCTGTGATAATAATAATCCAATGTGAATAGGCATCACTGTGACTTGGACAGAAATGGGCAGGATCCGATACGTAATGAGGCATTTTTTGTTTTTGTTTAAACAAAATCATTTGGAAAAATATAGAACAAGGTTATTTTAAATGAACGCGCTACACACTTTGACTTTTTAAAATTTATTTTTAATGTATTTTTCTTGCCCTGTGATGGACTTGCGACCTGTCCAGGGTGTACCCCGCCCCTCGCACAGTGATTGCTGGACATGGGCACCGGCGACCTCCGTGACCCAAAATGGAATAAGCGGGTAAAGATAATGGATGGATGGATGTATTTTTCTTTTTCGCTTCATCTTTTATGAGCTGCTACTTCCTTCACCGCAAATGACAGCAGGTGCGGAGACACGCATGTGATCAGCTGACCCATCCATCCATCCATCCATCCATCCATCCATCCATCCATCCATCCATCCATCCATCCATTCATCCATTATATTTACCCACTTCTTCCTTTTCGGTTAGCGGGAGTCACTGGTGGCCATGTCCAGCCATCACTGTGCAATAGGTTGGGGACACCCTGGACAGGTCGCAAGTCCATTTCAACTGGCGGGTCAACGGCCGCGCGGCCGCTCACGCCTGCCTCCTCCTCAACAAGTAGATTAACATAATTTTATATTGTGCATTCTTTAGTTTTCTTTGTGCTGATTCAAACCACATCAAAGCCTGAGACCAGCCCAGCTCGCACATTAAGCACATTACATGAACCGACCCGGTCGTGACAACGCAGCACATTAACATCATATCTGGAAGATGTCCGTAAATTTCAGCTAAGTCTCAGGTTTTGGTTATCCCGTGTGAATGTGCCACATAAAAAGCAGACGTTGGGGAGCAATTTATTTATTACATGTGGTCCTGGGGTAAAACTAATCTTGTGCGAATAGGGTTTTATACTCCTTATACTTGTTTGTTTTTCTCTTCATGAGGCATTTTTTGACTGACGCGACCTATACTCTGGAGCAACTTTTAGTCTGGAAAATACGATATTAGGTCAAGTGTCCCAGTCTTCTCTTGTTCAGAACTAAATCCAGCAGGACTCAGTTTACTTGGGCTGCCATGTTTTACTTTAGGAATCAGACTCTGAAGTTGCGATGTGGAGTTAAACCAGCTCCTTCGCATACAGTCATGGTGTTACATGAGCTGCCTTTTATGCGTAAAACAACTAATTACAGCTAAACGGCTTAAATTTTGTATTGGGACCATCCTGTGGGGCCGCTGTTCCTTTTCCAACTTCTGGTGTCTCATATGAGATCCAGTTTCTATATTGTTCACTGATAAAACCACAGACAGATGTGTAGAGTGACCTATAGAGTAAAACTATGAGAATGAAGAAAAATTGAGATTTGAGGTTTTTGCTAGAATTACCTGAATAATAAGAAAATAATGGATTTTGAATTAGCTGTTGTGGAAAAAACCTTTTGAAATGATTATTTTATTAGACTCAAATACGGTTTATTCTTTAACACAGAGTTTAATCACAACAAATGTGTCCAACAGTTGAAGCTGAAAATACTTTTTGTTGCCAGTTCCTCCTCGCAAAAAGAAAAGCAGAGCTGCCACTGAAAACACTGAGATGCCTTCAGGAACCACTAATAATGCTGAACTGAAAATTATATGCACTCTATTTATTTCACAGCTTTCGTAATTACTTTTTCTAACATTAAAAACAAGAAATTAAATAAACGTGTATACTTTTAATGCACAACAGCTAATTTTACTATACATTTAATTAAAAGGAAGCTTGGAAGGAACTTTTATCTTAAATACTACATACGCTTGGACAAATTTTTGTAAGTGTTTCTAGCAATACATTCATTTCTACGTGTATTACAGGGCTTGAAACCTAAAGAGCAATTAAATACTTCTAAACCTTCACACAACTCAGTAGAATGGTGCTGCCACATTATTCGATTGTTTATTTTGTGACATTAAAGTTACTGACTCATCCTCTAACAGACTTTGTTCAAAGGCTGCAGCCTAAATTTATAAAAAGCAAATTTAAAATGACATAAATTTGTTTACCTAGCATCTATATGAATAATCATCAAAAGGATCTCTCTAATAAACATCTTGTTTGTGTTGAAATGTGAGAAAAAAGTGAGATACACTGAACAAACAAAGCTGAATTAAAAGATTTAAGACTTTTTCTATGTATACAGTACTCCTCCTTTATCTCAAATATAGATTTGCACCGATTTATGGTAATATTTGAGAGAAAAATGCCTGTGTGTATAGAAAAAGTCAGATCTTTGAGTTCATCTCATGAGGAATGGGAGCAAAAACAAAAGTGTTGCGTTTATATTTTTGTTCAGAGTAATAGTCATGATAATGGTCCTGCTGGAGAATAATTACACTGCTAACTCTAGAGGAGCAGGTTTATTCAAATGGCTGCCAAGCTTTAAAATAAAAGGACCTAAAGTCCAACAGGCCTGCAGGTGATGTTCATATATGTATATAAACCTTTAATGTGAACCCCCCTCTGCTGCTTCAGCTAAACAGGTCTTACCATCTCCGAGCGGTGAAGGAAACACGGGCATCTCATAGCCTGTGGGTGTCTGCGGGGAACTCTGGGAGCTGGTGTCTCTTGAACTGCAGTTGGAGGCTGAGCTCACCGGCGCCGATGAGACAAAATAGATATCCGACTGTGGGCGGAAAAACCAGAAGCACGCAGAGAGACCGAAACATTAGAGATGACAGGTACAGCAGGTGAAAGGAGAAAAATACATAGCGGGGGTATTTATTTGATTCTTGATGCTTTAAATGATTTGTGTTTCAAAACTGGGACTTTATTACTGCTCTGTGGTCGTGCAGACTGTTGCAGGTACAAAGAAACTCTACTTTAAATTCAGTTCATTTAGAAAATAAACATAATCATCAAAAAATCAACATTTTAGGAGGAAAAAAAAAATCACTGTAATGCCACTTTGATAGGTATGTGCTGCTGATCATCCATGCTGCTGATCTCATGCTGCTGATTTATTTCATGCTGTTGTATTCATTCGTACCCTCACGCAGACTCATGTTCGTGCTGCTGTTGTTCTGCGTGTTGCTTTTGTACTATTAGTGTTTAGTGGATTTCTTAGTTCATATATTAGTTCCTTAGTACTGTTTCTTTTACAATTTATATTTTTCCTACTGTTGGCTGTAACTGGGACCTTGAGTACACAATTTTGTTCCACCTCATGTACCACATTCAAGGATTCAAGGATTCAATGTTCTTTATTTGTCATACACACCGCATGTGGTACATGTGGTGGAACAAAATTGTGTACACAGGGTCCCAGTTACATCCAACAAAAGTTTTAAAATGTAAAAGAAAAACAGTAAGAAGATCTGAGATATGAACTAAGAAAAATGTTAACAAAAAATACACTAAGTACTAGTAGCATAAAAACAATACGCCGAACAACAGCACGAACATGAGTCTGTGTGAGCAGATGAGCACGAATGAACACAGATCAGCAGCAAAATTAAACAGATCAGCAGCAACATGATGTGATTTTTTTCTCAGTGATTATTCTGGTTAGAGATTCATGAGTCTAACAGCCTCAGGGTAGAAGCTGTTCCTCAGTCTAGTGGTTCTACACTTAAATGTCCTTAACCTCCTTCCTGAGGGGAGCGGGGCAAAACGTGTGTGTGCTGGGTGAGTGTGGTCCTTCATGATGCAGGTGGCCCTCTTCCTGCGTCTGGATATGTAGATGTCTGTGATGGTGGAGAGACTGACTCCAACAGTCTTCTGTGCAGCCTTCACCACTCTCTGCAAAGCTTTTCTTTCTGCAGCTGTGCAGCCTCCATGCTACACGTTGATGCCTGAATGCCATTGATGCCACACATGTGATGCAAATGACAATAAAGAACCTTGACCTTGACCTTGAATACAATCCAGCTTGTATAAGACAGTCTAAAACTGAAAGACTGGGTTTACCTGTGCTTTGAGATGGAAAGTTCAGGTGCTAAAGAATATTTAACAGCTTGTGTTTTGGCTACATTGACTTTACAAGGATGGACGGTGTGACCTGCTCTAAAGACACAAGAACTCTGTTCGATATCTGGTTGGATCTTAATGTAAAGAGACAGTTCAACAATATCCAGAGATGAAAATGCATTTTGACACACAGTTGCAGGCAAAGCTGAATATTCACCGTACGGCTTGTACCCCTCACCCCCCAAAAACAAATAAATAAATAAAACTAAGAATCCAGTTTGAGGCACTTAAGATGACATTTTGCAACGTGACATCTAATGTACAACCTTATTGAGCCCCAGAGAGACCATGGACCTGTCTTTGTTGGTTAGACTTTTTTTTTAATCATTCATTTAATTTGCTGATTTATCTTGATAGAAAAAAACAAAACAAAATGAATCAACAACAGACAAATTGTCTTAGACTGAGTGCCGAAAGAAATGCAGTATTGTTTTTGCCCACATTTATTTGAGAGTGTGTGATTGTTAGCAAAATATCTCTTGAACTACGGCACAGATTTTAATAACGTTCTCAAAGTAATCATTAAATTGATTATCCAGACAGCAAAATACTATTGAGTCAACGTTGAAATATGGTTAGGCAGAAATATTGAATCAATGTTGAAGCCTGACATTTAAATTATACAGAAAGTGGTCGGTGACTTACACGTTGGGTTTTCAATCATAACTGATACTATATCAATGTTGATTCAACCATTATCTAAATGCTAATCTACTTTGTACATTTACATTTTTGTTGATTTTATATTGAATCAAAGTTAAGGAATCAATAACGTTCAGAGCTAACCCAAGTCAAGATGGCTGCCACAGATAACATTTGTCAACACAAAAATAATAAACAGTATTTTTCGCTGAAGTTGCACTTTTTGCATAAATTTGCAAGTCCTGTGACTTATACCCCAAAGTGACTAATATAAGTTTTTTTTTCCTTTATTTATAACCCAATTTTTTGCTGAGATGTGACAATTTTATTCATTCTGACATGGAAAATATCGAACACCCATTTTCAGCCACTAGAGGGTCCTGGAGTTATTTGGCAAGCCAAGTGTCTCACTAACAGGTAAAAGTAGCTATTAATGAGACACTTGGCTTGCCATACCAAGCCAACTTAGTCTCGCTCCGAAACTCCTGGAGCAAAATTCAAATCAGCTGCATTTTGCTGCACCACCCAGGTGAAATGCAGCTGATTTGACCATCAAAGTGCATTTATTAAGGAAAAGTTCAAGTGAGACACCTTTAATATAATGTAGAGCAAACAAACAATTGTTTTTACATGTAAATCTTGTTAAAATTCAAAGAAATGCACAGTGAGTCCTCACTCTGCACGCTCCAGCAGTCGCAAGTCAATTTTTGAAATGCAGCTGATTTGACCATTAAAGTGCATTTTTTAAGGAAACGTTTAACACCTTTGTGATAATTTGGAGCAAACAAATAATTGTTTTTAAGTGTTAATCTTGTTAAATTCTTGTTAAAGTCCTCCCGTGAACGCTCCTGTAGCTGCCATTTGGCAGCCAATCGATTTTTGGCACAACATTTCCGGGTGGTCAGCAGTGATGCATAACAAACACAACGCATCAGTGGTGACGCATAATAGATGCAACTCATATGGCAAAGTAACGTATTTATGTTTTTTTTTCTACTTTATTAGACATATTTGGACTGATGAGACTTATACGCCGATTTGAAATGTATGGCGGCAAGTACGGTAACTCAGATGATTTTACAAATATTGAGCCGTGGTGTAGTAGTAGGTGAGAATCGTACACAACGCAGAGTCCAAGGGCTAACAAATCATGCGTCACCCCATAATATTGTGTGGATTGCACATTATTATTAGTTTCAAGGTGTGCTACTTTCAAAAGATTTTAATTCATGAAATTCTAGGCCTTTAATTAAAATGTTTTTGTTTTTTTTAGATTTCCAAGATTAATATTTTAGTGTCTTAACTGTGCAGTTATTTTTAGACACACAGTTTAGTTATAATAGTATATTTGGTGAATAAAGGGTCTCCTATGTGTTGTATTCTTATCAGATTTGCATTTACCTCTTTTTGTGCAACAAAACACAACCACAGTTGACTTCCTTTTGTTCTAATTAATTTGTGTTAAAGGATGTCCTTCTGTTTTCTATGAAATGTGACTGGTTTGAGCAGACTTTCTTTTGTCCTGATTGGCACACCTTTGTTTAACACCTGCTCCACACATTGACAGTAATACTCCAGTGACAGCTGCCCCGCCATTAAAATGCAGATGTTTTTTGGTTTTGTTCATCCAGCCCAGAGCCATAGGCACGTGTTGCATCAAAGATGGCTCCGAGCTGGCAGCGGCTCGGTGCTGTGATTGCAGTCATACTGACCCGTGAGGCAGCCAGCTGCAGCTCGGGGACCACTGCTGTGTACACCAGGTTCCCGTTGACCACCAGTCGGATCTCAATGGAGTCCGTCGTGAAGGCCAGGATGTAAGGGAAAGCACAGACTGTAAAACACAAGAAGAGCTTTTCAAAACACTTATTTTGACAAATAACAACAAAATAAATTAAAGAAAATTGTAAACTTTGTTAAACTGCCTCACATTATGAGCTGATTACTCAGTTTAGTCAGAACTGAATATCTAACATTCACTGGTAAAAGGTGCGGAAAATATGAGTCAGGGTCTCTTTAGAACCATATTTAACCATCTATTTAATGATATTTTACATAGCTTTACAATGTAGCTGTTCTTGTTTAGTTTTTTATATCATTTCTTTTATTTATTTTTCATTTTGCCTATTGTCTGTACTTCATCTGTGTTCTTTGCTTAAATCAGGTCTCTCTTGTAAATGAGTCCTCGAGACTCAATGAGACTAACCTGTATAAATAAAGGTTGAATGAATGAACTAGTAATACCTGGTGGCTTGAACAAAAGAAGGGGGTCTATCCCTGAAATGTTACTATACAACATTAAATTAGCTTTGACAAAAATACACATTTTTTAATTGAAATCAAGCGGAGAGCCAAGCCTGGTTTATATTTGACCTCTACACCACCTGCATATTAATCACTTTGTTGTACAAATATAATTTACAAAGAAAGAAATTGTTTAATATTTCTTACAAAAATGAACAACATATTCAACCATTATGTGATCATGACTTCAAATGAATTCATGATGACACAAAACAGAAAGAAGAAGATTAAATTAGAACCAGAATACAACAGATCCATGTAGGAATCCAAATGAAAAGGATATTTTTTGGTTCTGGTTCCTATTTATAGATGGATATATGGTAATAAAAGATGCTAAAACTTATTGTAATTGATTTATAATAATCAAATTTGCAACAAAATGATGTTTAATTTCTGATTTTAACACATGTAGGTAGACATTGTTTAAAAGAGAATACATTGTTTGTTCCATTTGATCCGTCTTTCTTTTTCATCCATTTACTGTCATATATTTATATATATATATATAAAAAAAAAGACTAATTTGCATTGCTTTATTGTCTCCGGTGTGTCCCAGAACACAATATGTAATATTTGGGACAGTTTAAAGTCGTGGATGTATTTGAAAACAGCAGAGATACAAAAAAGAGGCAGATTTTTGTTTCATACAGGATGAGAGTTGCAGATTCAGGATCAGGTGTGTTTTCTTTTCATCACCTTCTATAATAACATCACACAGGCCGGTTGGATGCTTGTGGTCACACAGGGTGTTTCCATGGTGACGGCAAGCTCCGGCCAGGCCCGCAACATGGGCAGGGTGGGTGAGGCCCCAATCACTGTTGCTACGGTAACCTACCGATAGCATTGGGCATCTGGTTCCAGCTGAAGTGGAAATCCGAGGTGTTGGACTGGATCATCGGTGTGGAGCCGTTAAACGGACAAACTTTCTTATAGTAACAAATATCTGGAAAAACAAACATGGATTTAGTTGCATTTTGACAATCTAACCCTGGAGTTTTTTTATATTTTGAAACAATCTGACAGATGTTTTTAAATTTTAGCAACAAAGAAAAAATAATAAGGTTCAGCTTCGACCATTTACGTGCAGTCAGGGGAGGCAGTGCCACACCTGTGATCATGACAAGTAAAATACTGACATTAATAAGAGAAAATACATTTGACCACTTCACTGTTCTATAAAACTGTTTTTTGAATTATTTCAACACTTCAATAGTCAAAAGCGCAGCATTTAAAAATTGCCTGCTCAAACAATGTGGGGTGAGTCAGTGTAGTGCTATAGTTCACCTCTGGGGGCGCTGTGCCATTTACAATATACGTATGAAGTAGGTGGTTGGCACATGTCTATTGCTGTCTCTCTTTATATTGACAATATAAATGTTTGATTAAACATGTGCTACAAATGCTGACATTGAATGAATGTGTGAGACATGTTTCTTCTTTCTAATCGGTCATAAATGCACGGTGAAAATACACAGGGTGAGGCAGAAAGTACCTTGCCACACCGATAGGGGGCAGTGCTGCCCCATAGTTACAATGAAACAGGTGTAGTTGCTGTGCGTTCTTCTATTATGCAAAGGGGCAGGGGTGTAGCAAACTGTACACTCATTTAAATTTGTTTAGACGAAATGGAAGATCATATCTCAAAACTAACGGATATTTCTAAACTAGATTTTCAGTTGAAACAGAAGGTATTAGAGAGAGGGGGGAAAAAGGCTAAATTGAAATTTAAGCTTCTATTTTAGGTTCATATACGTGAGTATCTGATTCCAGATGAGTCAGTGCCTCACCTGTCACAAACCTCATGCATGTCACTGACTTCGACGGTGGAGACACAAAACCGAATCATATAACATTTAAAAAATGTCAAAAGTCAAAGGGCCACTCACAGTTGTAGCACAAGAGTAGACCTGCCTCGCCGTCTTCGTAAACATCGATGGCTGCTACAAAGTTTACCTGCAGGCAAAGACCAGTCACTTTAATGAAATCGCTTGTACAAAAGGTTAGACAGGAGAGAAGGGTTTAAAAAATAACTCCAGGTTACATTTCGGTAGTGCCATCTGAACTTTTTACAACAAATCTAGTAATGCTTTATGAGAACAGCTGATCATCCTACTGTCATGTCTCCTGCCTCTGAAAGAAAATGTGTTGATTGAGCCATATAGTCAGCAGGTAATTAAAGCAGCTAATGGAGTCTCAAGTAGAGTTGCATTCGGGCCTAAAAAAATCCGACCAGACCCGGCCCCAGCCCGTAGCCATTTTGTCCAAGCCCAACCTGACCCGATAAATTAACTGTAATTGTTCCAGGCCCGAAACTGAAATAAAAAAAAAACATGTTTTTAATTAAGCTTTTACTGCTTTTGTAAGCAAATCAGTTTGACGTGATAGTTTTAAAAATGTAACAGAAAGAAGATATAAGATTTCTTGTTTATTAACAAGGCACCAAATGAACCTATTAACATAGCTACAAAACAAATAGCCTAAAAACCTCAACCCTAAAGATAGGCTATTATACATCCATCCATCCATCCATCCATCCATTATCTTTACCCGCTTCTTCCATTTTGGGTCACGGGGGTCGCCGGTGCCCATGTCCAGCAATCACTGTGTGAGGGGCGGGGTACACCCTGGACGGGTCACAAGTCCATCATAGGGCCACATAGAGACAAACGAGACAAACAACCATTCACTCTCTCACTCACACCTAGGGACAATTTAGAGTTACCAATCAGCCTAACATGCATGTTTTTGGTCTGTGGGAGGAAACCGGAGCACCCGGAGAAAACCCACGAATGCACGGAGAGAACATGCAAACTCCACCCAGAAAGGCCCCTGGACCGGGGTTTGAACCAGGGACCTGCTCGCTGAGAGGCAGCAGCTCTACCAGTTGCGCCACCGTGCTGCCGGCTATTATACAGATGAACCAAAATATTTTTAGTGCAAAATTATTTGGAAAAATATAGACCAAGGCTATTTTAATTGAATGCGCTGCTTACTTCGGCTTTTGTGCTTCAGATGCTGCAACTTATTCCACTGCAAATGACAACAGGGTGTGGAGTGGGACGCGCGCGGCCGGTGATCCGGTTATCCATCTGACGCTTAACACAACTTTTTTTTACTTCTTTCAACCAGCTGGTCAGCGGACACACGCGGCCAATGGTCCGGTTGTCCATCTGAAGCTTAACACAACTTTATTTTTTTTACCTCTTT